TGAAGAGGGCACCAAATCAAATCTCCTGCTAACTCTAATCACTCTCTTCAAATGATTTTTCTTTTGCTCACTTAGAGACAGATGAATTTGAAGAACATGAAGCAACATTACCATTTATCGTCATTTATCTTATATCACTGTATATGTGTACCTACAGTTCACGGGAGTTCATATATTTTTTGCACATTACATATTGTTATAAAGTTTCAATATGTGTGTCCAAAGAAGGCTATGAGGAAGGACTGACATAACATGCTATAGAATGGGCACAGATGCAACAAGGTACAATAAACCAAACGACTTGATAGAGAAGGCGCCTAGCAAACTCACGTTCTGATTCATGATTGACGCCACACTAAAAACCCAAATGCAGACACCTTTACCCATGCGCTATAGGCTACTCACTTTCAAAAGGGTGGAGAACTCACAGTTAAATAGAAATATAAACAAGAGATTCCCTGAGGATACAGACTGCTAATGTAGACTTCCAATAAAAATGTCTTTTTTGGCATTCGAGTAGAGTCAGTGTTGAAGGGCAGAAGCAGCTTAAGGCTTTCTCTAGGCATTTGCCCAAGCACTGAGGCAAGTATTGCAATGTATTAAGCTTTTTGAGTTGACATGTTGACATACACGGCATTAGTGCTGTTGTACTTTATATCACCACAAATGATTTTTGTAGACTTAGGTCACTAGAATAGGGCTCAACATAGGGCTGGGAGAGATGCGCCTCACAAGGCGGGCAGTCCACCAGGGTCACAGCACACCTCCCACTTGTATTTCTGCCTCCTGGGGTTTCAACTCAACTCCCCCAGTCACTTATTTATTTGACTAAAGGAAAATACATGCTAAAATCTTTGCAGGTAGTGTTTCTGCCCTGTATGGCTTATAGAGCTGACAACTCAATCAGTCACAGTGATAATAATGGCATGAATATTTTGTGACAGGTGATACTTCTATCTAATTGACTATACTATGTCACAGGGGCTCTGTGACCTTCATCAGCCAAACCCAACCACAACATTAGACACTTCTAATTAAAAAACAAAAACAAAGTTATACTAACTTTAGAAATATGCTACAGGTATTTTTTGTTTGAAAAATCAAGTGCAATTGAAATCCATAAAATGTCAACAATTCCTGTGCATAACAATCACATTTACTTAAATAATTTGTAAAATTGGCGCCATCTCAATCCCTGCCCTTGTAGTCTGCATTATAAAAGAACCTTGGGCATGTATCAGAGAGAATTTGGATAATTTGACTGTAAAGTTCCCGCACATGTTGAACTACTTAAAATAATTTCTAAGATGTTAGTTTCATGAAGTTTCAGCAATTGTTCTCAAATGAGTGAAAATTATACCTTACATTTACTTTTTCAATCACTTACAATAAACTGGCTGAAAAGTCTTTTAATCACAGATGTTAAGGGATTTTATTTTGTCTTCGATTTGAAGGGAAAATTTTAGTAGCTTGCATTTTCTAGTTTTTTGTAAAACATTTATAGGCCATCTAGTAGAGTACTTTGTATAAATTACATTTATGAGCACTGGACTAAAAATTTGACTCTAAAAAAATGTTTTAATGTGTAATTTTTTTAATCTCATATACCTGTTAAGTTTACCATTCTATTAAATATGTACATGACCTGTAGAGATCATAATAAAACATTTTGCCTTTCTTTTTTAAAGATTATTTGTAAAAAGGAGGGGGGCATTTTATTAATTTTTTCAGGTATACAGAAGTCCTTGTTCTCTCTAGCACTTAAAGTGGGATCAAATGAGGGAAGTATGAGGAATTTTCCTGCAGCATTTCAATTCATGTTGATGGGTTTTGTTTCTAAACTTGTAACAATTGTCTTTTCTTCCTCTTTCCGTCACAGACTTACACAATGCCTTAAGCATTTCCTAACTCTCTTTCATAGATTTATTTGTATCACCTGCAGCAGACTGTGAAGCTCTTAAAGAAAATTGGCATGTTTTGTATAATTTGTATATGTCCCATAATATCTAGAAGAACTGGGCAAAAATTACCTAAAAAAGAAAAAGAAGTTAAGAAATACATATTTGTAAAATGCAGCAAAGAGTTAGATTCCTTACTATGAACATCAGTTAAAAATTGTTCTTTGGCTAAAAAAATCCAAATTGAAGTGATCCGTGTTATTCCAGGTGAAAATGTCAAGATTCAGGGCACAAGTCACCATGTTTCATTCTGCCCGCACTGGCAATTGCAGATTCACAGAGAGGGAGCCTCCCTCAGAGTGGGAGCTGAGGAGCTGTGGGATAGAAGAGAACCTTGCAGCCTGCCTGGGATGAACAGGTAGCCTGAGTATATGTGTGTGTATACATCAATCACCGAGGTTTGAGGATTTGGGGTGTTTTACCCACAGCCTCGCCTTACCTATTTCATGTGTGGTCAAGGTACCTGTTGCACCCAGTCTTAATCTTCATCTTGACATGCAAAGTTATCTACCAACTTTCTTTACCATATCCAAAATTATTATCCAGTCCTTTCCAAACTTGATAGTCCATTCTGACCAGTAATCTCACTGGTTATCACATGGGAAACCATATCTCTGGATAGCTCCAGGGCCCAAGCTTCACATTTCTCCAGCTTCATAGAGTCACTTCCTTAGTCATTCCATAGTCTAAGTTATAACACTTTTTTCAAGAGCCATGTAAGCCCCGCTTTTCGACAAATTTAGTCTACAGTGATCTCCCTTTTCCAACAATTCCCAAACTTTAGGAGTCTGTATCTAACATCTGTGTGCTCCTCTGAATCATTCTTCGGTTTGTTCTGATGAGCTTGATATTTCAATGGCATTAATATGAGCTCTTTTAACGCCTCCCAGGATTTTGTAGGAAGTTAGGCACAGATTAGGAGATCAATATATTCAGATCTATTCATTCACAGATTGATTTTTTTCACTAACTCACTCAACAAATGTCAGGTGCCACACTTGATGCTGAATGCCAGAAATGCAAAGATGAGAAAGAGAAACCCTCTTCCATAAAAAAGTTCAAAATTTATAAGGGAGAGAGAAATGCACCATCCTAACTCTATATTAAACTGGTACAAAATAAATACGTTAAAAGGAAAAACTCGTGGAGGAGCAGGGAGTCACTTTTAGTTATTGTGGTCATAAAATTATCCTACAAGAAAGTGCATTTCTTTTATTCATTCATTCATTCTCTCATTCATTCACTCAACAAACGTTTGGTATTTCCCACAGCATGCCAAGTACTGTTACGATTTTGGAATGCTAAGACAAAAGGTTGGAAGATACAGTCTCTGTCTTCAGGGTGCTCACACTCAAGAGGGGAAGACAGTGAGTAAACCAACAAATTATAGCATAGCCTAAAAATAATATTACCTTGACAAATAATTGTGCTAGGTGCCATTTGCCTTTACATCAATTGGCTTGGCTTAAAGGTGTCATCCACGCTACTGTTTCACCCCTGAGCACTTCACCTTTAACAGGAGTAAGCAAAAAAGCCAAATGGCACTGTCCGGATTTGGCTTTCCCCAAGCTTGATTAATGGAAAAACAACTAATTTTCGTGGTTGATCTATCGTTTTAAAAAATGTCAAAAGCATACATTTTACTTAACACTGCTAAATATTAGCATGAATTAGCCCCTACTTATCCAGTTTAAAATCCAATGCTTATTTAGAAAAAGAATAAAGGAAAATCCAAACACTCGGTTAAAATAAACACCTCGTTAAGCTTTCATTGTTATTGGTTCATAATTACTGCTTATTTTATATCCAGTTTGAATGGTTTTCATGGAGTTAATTCAACCGTAATATCCAGTTTTTCTTGCTCTTAGACACAGCTTCAACTTGCTTTGGATTTTAAGGCAACTTTTCTTAGAAAATGCTTATAGGCAACTTCTTCCAGCCCAAATGTCATTCTCACTAGAGGAAAAAGCAGGGCCACTTCTTCTCAATTCAATTTACCTCCATAAACACGCACCGAACGGCCCCGAAGTGCTTTAGAGATACAAAGGTGAGGCCATCACAGCCCATTTCTTCAATGAGTCTATCATGTACAACAGGGTTTCAGGAAGTTTCAGAAGACAGACAATTGACCGATCAAAGAAAATTATCATTATGTGCCCAAAGAGGCTTCCAAATGATTTACGTGCTAAGAATGATGCTTCATTGAGTTACTCATTTTCGCCGGTTCCAGCAGCTCAGCCAAAGGAAAATTTAAAAAAAAAAAAAAATAGTTCTTTGATTGCAGCATCTTGTCCCTGGCCCACATAAGATCCTAACAAATACTTCCTTACATTAACAAAGAAGTGATTTTTTTCACCACCAAGCAAACTTCCTTTAGCTTCCTTCAGCTTCCTTCTCCCATCAGGCGTTTATACACAGTCAGTTAACTACAAACACCAGCCACTTTACACAGCCTGCCTCCTTGTCAGTCTCTCTCTTTAGGGGCTGTACCCCTGTGCACAACACACAGCATTGTACGCAATTACAGATTTTTAAAAGACTAGAGAGTAGTTCATATACAAATCATATACATGTATGTATGTGTGTACATACATCATATACATAAATACTCCAAATATTATACACAAAAACCTCCATACACTAGAGAAGGAGGGAGATCTTCAGAAATCTCAGTCTCATCAGAGGAAATACGAGAAATAAATTCTTTTGACTGATCTTAAATAAAGACCATGCAAAATTACTATGTTATTGAACAAAACAAAACTTTTTATACAGGTTTTGTTTATTTCTTAGACTCCCACACTACTTAGTGAATGAATAAGATTTTTTTTTTTCAGTTTCTGAGGACTCCGTGAAATAAATTTACCTTTAGGATTTTCATGTGTACCATGAAATGTATTCAAAACTGCATATTAATGTATCTTCTCTTGAAAATTCTGAAGATTCTATTTCTCAACTGAGTTTAAGAGAGTCATTAACAACACGCAGACATGATTATATTTCTTTCCCAGAGAGACTACGTATTCTGTTAAAGAAACATACCCAGATGCTGTCCTCCTGTCGATATTGTTTCCAGTTCCTGCCACTGTCACTGAACATCAGCAGGTAGCTGGTCACCCAGTTGGAGCTCCCATATCCCCCTTGGGTGGCCACCGCGGTGATCTCCATTCTCTCTCCAAGGTCAATCTGCAACCACTGGTATTTGTTTGAGACAAGCGGAGACCAGCCCCCAGCTCCTTTCGTGAAAACAGAAAAGGAGAAAATTGGCAAAGAATTAGTTAAAAATCTGTTAATGGATTACAAACGCCAGTAAGATTGTATTCCTCTATGGAACTTTAGAAAGTCAAATTTCCAGAATATGAAACTATCACCTTGTAGAAAAATCAAGAATTTCGTGTAAATGGATTGAGCCTATGTTAATTACGTTCATTTCTAGGTGTTATAACCTGTGACACTGAGGAGAGCTAGGGTCTCGTTGAATGTTGAAAGAGCTCAATTCGACAGGGGGACACTCATGTCAACACTTGGAAATAGCATGTTTCCTGCCCCCATGCATGACTGGGTAATGATCAGCCTTCAATCATTGTTCACACTACGCTGGAACTAGAAAACTCCCTCTGATGCCTGATCATGTAGACTCCCCAGAGAAAGAAGAACAGCCTCGAGCCTGAGAAGACAAAAACAGTCAAGGAATAGTCCCTACCCTCTCTGTTATTACAGCCTTGTAGGAGGAACAGACATGGAAAAGCATGTTTGAAACACAACATGAAAAACTTCAACGGTGAGGCACATGCAGGGAACAATAACACAATAAATGATGGAGAGTTCTATCCAGAGGGAGCTTGGAGCTCACTTGCAACAATGTGTGAGACAGCTTAAATTTTCAGGAATTTTGCAAGCTGATTGTTAAACATAGCCATCTTTGCAAGTGGCCATCGTGGGAGTATTTAAACCACAGAGATTGGCAATCTCTACAAGTCAACACCCGCCCCCACCCCAGCCAGTTTACCAACACACCACTGGTGCTATCCTATCTGGGGAGGGAAAGGATGGTGGTGGGTGAGGGGATGGGGGAGGGGAAAATCACACAGAAGATCAGAGAGTAAGTCATGCTTGAGCACTCAGAAGTGACAAACAGAAGCTTGTTCTATATTCAAGGAAGTATGGGTAGCGCAGAATTTATCCTGTTTGTCTTGTTTAACACACACCAGAAAATTATAAATGTGACTACTGTATGTCTTGTTAAGATGTTTCATTCTTCCAGTTTAATATAATACTACTTTATTTGGGGAATTTATTTACTTTAAGTAATGCTGACATTGCTGACTGTGTAAGTAAAATACAACCACTGTAAACATCATGAAATAGGGTTTGACACATTCTTGAAGCCATAATCATCTAATATTCAATACTATTAAAATGCAACATCTATTACATAACACCCCAAATAAGAATATTCATACATGTTTTCTTTCTCCTATTCTTTTGCCATCTGCCTTGAGGCCCTGATAAGGTCTGACATTTTAGATAGAAATTACCATTCATTTACACACCATTTTTCTTCAAGCATTATTCTTAACATCTGTGCCCTGTTTCATAAAACCCCGAGTACAGGCTCTAGTGCAAAGAGATGCTCAATAAATGTTTGCTAATATGGTGAGGCACATGCCACTGTGAAACCTACAAGGACACATCTGTGTTAACAACTGTTTTACAAGATTTAAAAATTCTTTTTGACAGCAGACACAACACAATGACACTCTGATAGATGAAAGGCAGAGCCTTTTGTTACTTACAGTTCCAAAAAAGAGAAGGCTGCCAGGTAGAGCCATCCAGGGAGATGCACCCGTGGGAAAGGTGACAAGGTGAAGTTATAGGGGCAGCTTATGTACTGTAAGTGGGGCGGGGTTAGCGAGGTTTTGTGGGCTCCGGGTGGATTGGCTAGTTTGAAGGGCCTCCAGGGCATAGGGGCTGTCCCTAGTTGTCTGGTACCTGACTCCAGGCAGTTTAGGGTTGATGGGTGCATGATAGGAGTGGTGAGTGGGTATATTTCCTTCCACTGTCCTATCTAATCTTACTAGTCTGCCTCAGGGTCTATCAAAAGTTTGGAAGTTGAGAGACTTCTGGGGACTGATCCTAACCAAGCACCCTTGATCCTCTTAGAGCTGCAACTGCTTATCTCTCTGTATTTTTATAACTCTTTTTACATAGAAAAGTTGGAAAAGAGTGAATGAAGTGCCCCCGCCGGCCATCACCTTGACCTGACATTTCCACTTTTGAAATTTTATCTATATCAGCTTATACCTCCGAGAAAATGCTGGTTATTTTGCTTCTTGCTCTTTCTAGTTAATTTTAACGGTCAAAAGTCGGTAATGAGGATATATTTAATATGGAATTTCATAATATTTCTCTGGCATTTTGACACTCCTTCATAGACCGGTATTTAAGAAGTGAACACATGAGAGAAGCCCAGTGAGGAAAAAAGAATCAGCGTGATTCTAGTGAGTTAAAATTGGATCATCAATTCTCATCAGGAGAAAGAGGAACCTCTTCCTGACCGCTCCCCCTAGCCAGCATCACTCACCGTTACAGCTGCACTAACCAACTTGAAACATTCGCAGTTAATTGACCTTGAACGTTTCAATTTCTCACCTGTGGTGAAAAGGTACTACTGATATGCAAATTAAGCTATATCATTAACGGGTACACCAATAAAGTAATGGAAATTCAGATGCTCCTAGCCTTTACCAAGTAAATTCAGCAGGATAAGTCGGCCACAGGGAATCCAGAGATGCCTACAGGGTTTTAAGCTGTGCAGCTCTGCATACGCACGTGGTCTAAGTGTGTGATGGAGCATTACGCTTGCTCTAATTTTAAAAGGAATGTTGAATAGTGATGCAGAAAACGCAAATATATAGATATAGACACAGAGAGGTATACAGAATTAACACACTTAGGGAGTGCCGGCGTATGATGACAGGTAGGGACAATAGTGACATGAAATGAAAATGCAACTGAGGCTGAGGTTAGACCACACCAACCCTATGGCCACCACCAAACCACCTAGCCTTCTGGAGACATACTATTGTCATATTTACTTTTTTTAATGGAGAAAATGATGGCTAACTCCAGCAAATTGTAAACTCTGAACCACTATGAAATAAAATATAATGAATTTTTTATTTTACTTATTAACTAGAACTTTCAGCTGCTGATCAAGTATTATTCATCCAAAATGATGCTTTTAATATGCTGCTCTATTCAGCATCACAGTAGACCAATACCTACAGACCAAAGACCATCTTTTTATAACCCCATCTCTTCCATGGTTATAGACACTTACCCCACGAGACAAAAACCGTGTCCCCCCATTCACTTTCTTCCCCATACCCAGACTTCCTTTCCCAGTCGACCTTCCTTTTTCTCCTACCTTGGCCTCGTTACTGAGACTTGACATAATAATGTGTCATAAATCTTTTTAAACAGAAATGTTTCTTGAATCTTCATATCATCATCTGAAAACTCACATTTAAAAGCAAAACTCCTCCCCATTGATGAGACTTTTAAGTTAAATGTTGTCATACTGCTATAAGCATTAAATTTAAAAAGCATATTGATTGCCTACTTATTTCTCTCACACACAGCAAGCATGTGACTATGTGGTAATTGTTACTGTTTAAATTATAAAACAACTATTATTGCTACTGACTCCAAACCAGGAGTTACAGTCAGTAAAGCTGAGCCGTGAGAAAGTTTAGTTACTGAGTGACCACAAAACATAGTATCTCTTATATCTGTTGCCTACCACATTTAAACATGAGATTCCTGAGAAACTTACTTCTATAATACATATTGCTGTGAATCATCAAAAAAGAAAAGCAAACTAAAAATTATCCAGTGGGGGGTCCTTCCTGGTGGCGTAGTGGTTAAGTTCACATGCTCCACTTCGGTGGCCCCGGGTTCACAGGTTCCGATTTCGGGTGTGGACCTACACATGGCTCATCCAGCCATGCTGTGGTGGCATCCCACATACAAAATAGAGGAAGACTGGCACAGATATTAGCTCAGGGCCAATCTTCCTCAAGCAAAAAGAGGAAGATTGGACACAGAGGTTAGCTCAGTACAAATCTTCCTCAACAAGAAAAAAAATTATCCAGCGCCTATTGTATGCTAAGTACTCTATTAGAAATTTTCTGTACCATATCAACCTTAATTATTTAAATTATCTAATGAGATGAAATATGCTTTAACATCTCTTCCTTTCAAATAAAACTTTTAAAAAAAGATTTACAGAAGCTAAGCAAATTTTCCCAATATTGTAAAAACTAAATTTTCCTAAGATTATTTAAATTATTTTAATGTAGCTGAGAAATTACTTACTTTTAAAATAATTTTAATCCGTGTGAGGATCTCATTTTAAAAATCATCTTCTTTTCAATTCTTTACCCCCGAAATAATTTTACAACTATCAATGCCCTGTAGTGGTATATCTTATCTCAAGAAAATATCCAAATAATTTATTCAGCATTATTTAAATAAAAATAACTGGCTCGCTGAATTATGTTTAAGAGCTACGTCTCCTGCTTGCTAGATATCACCAACATTTAGTTCTAGTCATGGAGGCACATCTTAAAATTTCAGGGAAGTGAAAAGAAAAATTGAAGAAAAAATACTCTTGACTGAAGCCTTAAAATATAGAAAAGAATCACTTCTATCTCCAACTAATATTAAAAATGGCATGATTGCCATTCCCGGTGGTCATCAGTGAAGGTGATGAGTTATAGAGTTTGTCGACTTTGTAAAGATAGGAACTACACAGAAAGGAGGAGTCATATTTCTTTCTCAAGATTTAAAGCGTAGAAGGACACAGATGTTCAAGGACACAAGACACAAGTGAGCATAGTTGAACGACAGTCTCACCCACCATTAGGGCATCTACACTTCTAGAAAATAATTGGCTTAATTAAAATTGTCATAGAAAAGTTTCTCTCTAAGATAATTACCTTTTTTCACATGTGATTTCATCTAGATTTCCCCAAGAGTCTCAGTTTGCCTGGATCATTTTGATCTTGACATTAAATTACATCAATGTAAGGAAACGAAAAGAACACAGCACCGATATTTGTTTGGCTCCCTTAAATGGTCTGCAGTGTTCCAGGGCCACGATTTGGAATCTTTAAAGCTTTGTATTTTTACCAGTGTAGGTCTTTTCGCCAGAAGAAAACATGACTATTGA